ATATTAAGGTCAAGCGAATTGTTTTTCCATTTTGCTGGAGTAACGTGACAGCCAATTTACACAGCAGTGTCCGACAAACAGTCGAAGAATAGAGGGACCAATACATATGGCCATTCATGATATCGATGAAGGGATTTATCCCTGGTAAATTATCGATCAATCGACTAACAATCAGGATTCTACTTTCTGCTCAGTAAGCAGAGGCGTGAGGGTTAAGGAGATCCCTCTGAGGTTTCGCTCTGCCCGTGGCCTCTCGTTTGCGAAGCGAGTACTTTATCGAATACCAACAGGAATCCAGACAACATATACTTATCCAAGTCGATAAGTATTCATTTTAATCGGAGGAATCAGCCTGGAAGACCCTGCGAAACAATCGACTGCTGAAATATACGCTAAAGAGCGAGAAGGTGTGAAATTATCCTACAGATTCAAGACATTGAGTGATGCCTATAATCTCTATGGGTACAGAGTTGCTTCCAGGAACACTCCTGTTTACATTCTTCTCTCTGTTGGAGGAAAGGATGAAAGGAATCCTAACTTCCCGGATCGATTTTCCTCCACTGTCCAACAAACGAGTGAAGACATTGAACTGAGAATTTTCACATCAATAACAATGCCGTGCGTTACTGCGCCATGGATCCCACACCGCTGCCGTGCTATGGCAGCTCTGTACTAGTTGTTTTGCCAATATACTAAGAGAGGGCGACTTTGCTTCAAACAAAACACTAATAAAGCTTTTATGTAATAACAATAAACCTTGAAATTGATGAAGCGCATTAACTCTTCTTCGATGCATTGTAAAATTCTTCACAGAATATACTGCAAAGTGAACTGACTGTTTGTTTTGTGGTAGAAGTATGGCAGCCAACTGCGCACAGTGCCCAGGAACAGTCGTTCATTACTAACCGATTTATTGTTGATCATGAAGGAATGTTACCCGTGAAAGCGAACCCAAGTCCTCTCGCTTCAGAGACGGGTAACACTGCCGCCACATTACACAACAGTGCAGTCAACTCCCATTGAAAAGTATTCTGTGAAACGCTTTCAGCCGTCACGAAGATTTATTAAGGTGATATCTCAACTGCAATGATTACTATTAATTATTTTTGACCTTCGGTGCAATTGGCCGCCAAGCTTTTTTCCACGAATCATACAGTTACTGCAGTTTGCAGAATTTCATGTGAAGTGCTTTGAGAAGACTCCGAGACGTGACAACGCACCATATCAAATATAAGCTTTATATTGTTTGTCTCAGTCTGGTTTGCGAACTCATAAAAATGGTGATGAGTTTCCCTATGTGTCAGACACAGAGTTTATAAAAAATATATATTAATACATGAAACACTGAGAAAATGCACCTTATAATACAATAACTTGTACACATGAATTATGCTGGAAAACTGTATTTTGTACCCAAATATCTGTAATACAGATGCATAGAGCAGAAAGTGGGAGGAAGGAAACTTGCAACTAACTGGGGCAGAGAAATCTGAGTAACTGCTGACATCACCTGGCTCTTCCCTGTCGCTTTGAACCCTCTCAATATCTCGTTTCCTCTCGTTACCAAATTGACACCTGCCCCAGGGGATGTGAAGCCAATACACATTAGGCCACAGTCTAACCACCTGCACACACTCAGGGGCTTCCAGTGAATACCGCGTCCAACCTTCTCTGACACGTAAAACAATACCAATCGTTGTCATTTGATACAGCGCCTTATCTCGATTCTGACAGGGATCAGGATGCTCATGTGGGAGATGTGCGCTGTGCTCTCAATAACTCTCATCTTACTTTGCCGTACGTCACGTTTTATGCCTTTTTCGGTGTTAAATAACTTATGTTATGTTTTGAAAAAATATAGTAATATCTATGCATTTGATATCAAAATAATATTCATGCATTTGATACAATTTCGATAATAGTATTAAACCGTGCCTTTGATATAACGCCTTTTGATGTATTTGAGACGTCTCGAAGTGCTTCACGTTATACTCGGAAAAATGAGCTGAATGTGTATGTTGTGGGTCAAACATGGCAGCAAATTGGCACAGCCGATCCCTCCAAACAGTCGAAGGATAGAGTGACCAATATGTATTATTATTCACTTTTCTTGTTGAACAGATTATTATCGCTTGTAAATTCATGCAACTATCGACTGACATGTTGAGTAAGGAAAGTTGCCTAAGTTTACGACCTGCTTGGTTCCTCTTGCATGCGAGTCGAGTGTTTTAACCAATACCCGAAAGGATTCCGCAAACGGAAACTTATCCCACTACAAATGTATTGATTTTTATCACAGGAATCAGCCTGCAAGACCCTGGTAAACAATCGACTGATGAAATATTGGCTCAAGTGGGAGAAGATGTCAAAATATACTGCAGTTTAAAGAAAGTCAGTGATGCCTCCTATCTCTACTGGTACAGAAAAGCTTCCAGGAACGTTCTTGTCTACATACTTCGGTCTTTTGGAGGAAAGGATAAGAATAATCCTGACTTTCCAAACCGATTTTACTCCACTGTCGATAAAACGAGTGAAGAATTTGAACTGAGTATAGACACAGTCCTGATGACTGACAGTGCCGTGTATTACTGCGCCAAGGAGCCCACACTGCTGCCGTGCTATGGCGGCTCCGTACAAAAACTTCAACTTGAAGCTAAACCGCGAGGGGGAGTCATTGCATCGATCGACCAACTAAACAGCAATTATATCTGTTCAGACATCTCGGTAAATGCCAGGGCATGAAGGGAGTGAAGACGGATATGAGGATCTTGAAATCAATCAGTTAATTCAAAGGGTGTCAGTGGAGCCTGGCGTGAACTGGAATGATTGGCGTGTGGTATACAGTGCGAGGTATCAACATATTAATCACATTCAGAATCGTTGCAATTAATCGTGTCTCATTGATGTGCCTTTCAAACACACAGACTTTCAAGTTTCTATGATCTCTGATCAAAACGTGACACTCAGAAAGCTGTACTTGTGATGTGTGGATAACAGATGAACTTGATTCATGTTGTGCAGCTATATCAGGTAAAATCAATGCCTGGAAACAAAGAACACACTGAATAAATGTTTATAGTGTTCCGAAGGTCAGCAATATGAATGGGTGAACGAGACGTCTCAAAGAGCTTCACAGCTTACAGTGTAAGTGAATTGTCTGCCATTTCTGTAGGCTAAAAGCGGAAGCCAATTGTATGCAGCAGTGTCACTAAAACAGTCATTTAAAAAACAAAATGTGTTATATTAAATTAACATGGGCGAGCAACTTAAGCACAGATAAGTCACAGTTAGATGATATGAATGAGACTGGAGACGGATGTTCCAGGAAGCTCTGACACTAAGGCAAACATTTCCACTGGATGAGTTAGGACAAGGAAAGGTAAGACGGCCGAAAGTAATTTGCTATTAGCACTCTGAAATTTTACACGTACTGTAGCAGCAGTCCAACAGCAGATGTTGCACCAAATCTTATTTCACATAAATTCGACTTACATAACTTGCCACGTTGCTTTCCGTAACTAACTAGCTAGGCAGCAGTAACAGGTGCTTCCTCTTACAGTTGACATTGGCTCCCTCATACACACTAATGTTGCTCTAGCTGAATTACAAAACGTTTTTTCTAAAGCATCAATAACAAAAGGCTTAGGTTTATCAAGAAGCTTTTTCTGTGTCACGTTTTCTATTGTATTGCCTATCTCTCCAAAAAGTAGACACGCTTATGTTGATCCCGCTGAGTTAATACATGATTTATATGTTGCTGAGATTAACATGGTCAGTAGTTTTGGTTTAATTTTGGAAGGAGATTAAAACTGACCGATATTGGTTTAATTTTGGAAATGAAGAACTAACTTAGATACATATTGCCTGCCATGTTCGCAAATCCAAACAGATCTGGACAGCGATAATAATAATAATCTTCCTAGCACTCAATATATTTCCGTTCGCTTTGTAGGTGCCAGCAAACAAATTAATTTCAGCAGCAATAAAACTTTCAGAACGTACTTCATACACATATTGTGCAAAAATTACGTAATGAGCTCAAACTGTCGAAGTGGATCCAGAGACAACAACATTCTGAATCATAAGAGTAATTATCACCAACAGAGGCAGATTGTCACCTCAGCAATGATGATACAAAGGAAACCTTTACTCCATTAGGCTAGACTGTATGGATCCATGATGCTTCATCTAAATCATTGCGTTCATCATACGCACGCCAGATTACATCAACTGTCTACTCACTTTATGATCTACTTCTTCACTTCGCAAATTGCTGACTGTCCAGAGATCTGTATACTGTGAGTCTCCCACACACGAATACACGAATCTTGCTCCCAGACAATAAAAACTGTACCCAGAAGATCGATTAGAAGTTGCTCCCCCTAACCTTTAAATATTTCCTTGGTATTGTCCCAAGAAACCTCTGTGATGAATTCAGAACCCACAAGTCTGTTTTCCAGACAGTAACCTTTGCAGTATAGTCGGTAAAGTTATTTGAGACGTCTCCAGAAAAATAACAACATTACATTAGTATAGCGGTTTATACGTCTGGAGGTCGTCTCAAGGTGCTGGACAATCAGCGTTTCGGAACCGAACTGGGGATAGGGATTGGGGAGGTTGAAGGGCAAATGTGGACGCAGAGTGATGAAAGCTCTGTGGAGAGGGTGGTCTTGATATTGGTCTTGAAGCACGGAAAAGAGAGGCCGAGGTGGAGTGACTACGGGATGCAGTTCGAGAGGTTGGGGGCAGAGTACCAATTCAAGATGCTCACCCTAACCTCCCAATCTCTCTAGGTTGTTGTCCCTTCCTACATCTGATTTATCCTGGAAAACTGCAAATCTCATCCACATTTTATGACCAAGCCTGTGACCAAACTGAATTGGTTCGAAAGAGACATATTGCCCCCTTCCCCTCACCCCCAGAGGATAAACTGTGACACTTTAACTTCCCTCCCACAATGACCAGGAGGTCTTCACATCACACGATTAGGAAGTGAGGTCATGGCGATCAAGTGGCACCTGTCTCAGTGCTGTAAGTTCCAGATCTAAACCAACATCTTACCAACAAAAGAGCTCAGCTGGGGAGTGAGTGATGGACATCGCAGAAGCCTGTGTGTTTCTGGCTCTGGCTGCCATTTCAATAGGTAATTCGTTGCAACAACAGTAAACGCTTCAATTATTTTCCATGATGACTTTTATTGAATCGGTTTCTCTTTTATCCTCAATATGTTAAGCATTATAATATTATTCCTTGCATTTGATGTAACGATTCAATTTGACATCGAGACGGCTCATAGCACTTCACGTAATACACTACAAAGTGCAGTGACTGTGTATTTTGTGTGTGAAACGCAGCGGCCAATAGTTTACAGCCATGTAACACAAACAGACATGAATTGACTGACCACAATGTTATTGTTATTAATTTGAAGGGATTATTATCCCCGGAATGCGATCTGTTATCGGACAAACAACAACGCTTCTTCTGACAGTTGGGTAAACTTAAATATATGCATCAAGTAAACTTTCTTTAGGTTTTGACCTGTTCACTCCGGGAATCGACCCCGAGGCCTCTCAATTGCGAGGCGAGCGCACTAACGACTCAACGAGATAATTCCATGTTCTGGTCTTTCAGGCCTGACCAAAGGAGACTCTGTGACACAGAAGGTGACTTTAGTGACTGGGAAAGAAGGAGGAAGTGTGACCATGGAATGCCATTATGATACTTCTCTGAGCGACTACTATTTACACTGGTATCGGGAACAACAAGAAACACAACCACATTATGCGCTTAAAAAGGGTTCTGTTTGTGATAAATATAAAGCAGACTTTGCTGAAAAGCGGTTCTCTGTTGAGCTCCAAACCTCGACAAAATTCAGCAGTTTAACCATCTCCCTGTTGGAGCTGTCTGACAGCGCTGTGTATTACTGTGCTCTCCAACCACACAGTGATGGGTACCAGTCAGAGACTCGTTCAAAAACTAACAGCCATTAGTGGGTTTGTGCTTCTGTCTTTCTTGGCCGCAGCAGCGATTTCCTGTGGGAAAGGAGACGAGAAAAAGACACAAAGAGAACATAACATTAACAGCAATTCTGATTGTAACACAAACAATTAATTGATCCCACGATGTCATATTCTTGCCATAACCGTGGTGAACTTGCATGCATCGCAAGCGAGAGAAGTGGGTTCGACTCTCGGCAGGGAGAAATGTTGGGCAAGCCTCCTAACTGTACACGCCAATGTTTACTTATCAGTAGGTAGGAACCTGATTGGGGAACTGCTTTCCGCCGATAATAATACCTTCAATAAAATAACCTGCCGCATCTCGCTCACAAAATATAGAGTCACTGCACCTGATCACAGATGCTGTGAAGCGCTTTGAGATACCTGGAAAATTTGGTGAGTCCCTACATCGAACGCAAAGATTGTTATGATATTATTTTAATGATCACTGTACCTTAGGGCATTGGCTTACAGTGTTACCCGGAGCTGAGTGGTTCCTTGCCCCCAGTGCCTTGTGAAATCCACTGTATAAAAGCAATTGGTTGTTGTGTTGAAACGCGGCGGAGATGCCAATGATGTGATGTGAGACGGTGGCTCCGCAAAAGCCGACAATCACTGCGGGTTATCAGCAAACTGATGGCACAAACACAACCACACAGACTGAAGAGCAGCAATGAGGCTGTTTGCTATCTGTCTTGTGCTGGGAACCTTTATATCAGGTGAGGCCCTATTGAGCTAATTCAGTGTTGGTGATGATGCTAATCTCCATTTAAACAATAAATGTTGGAGTGAAACCTATATCTCAGTAGTTGGAGCTTCCGGCTCGCAAGAGGAGCTGGGATCGATTCCCCAGCAGGAGAAATCTAAGGCAAATTTCTTCAATCCACAGAAACGCCTCTCTATACCTTGCAGGAAGCAGGAACCGGATACTTTAAAAAACTGAGCAATTAATCTTCCAAATATCAATTTCTCCATTCATTCGTTTTGAGTCGTTAGTCGGATCACTTTTTCGCGGGGAATAACCATTACTTGTCTGTAAATAATAATTTGCTAACTCATTCCACAACTGTTCCTGTGAAACTGCTGTGCCCAATGTCGCTCACAAAAATCGAGAGAAATTAACTGGATAGAACATTCTGTATAGCGCACACCGACGTCTCAACACCGTGATAATGTGCTCTATAAAATATACAGGTTATGATGTAATTATAAACAAATATCAAATGCATAACTCGTTTCCTTTCAGGCCTAGATTAAGTAATATATTGTTGTGCTTTTCCTTGTTTAATACAGAAGTCTGAGCTGGTGGTGTGTGACAGCGCTGTGTATTACTCTGCCTTTAGTCTCACCACAGTGATAGGCTGCGCTGCAAGTCTCGTACAAAAACTGCCTTCACTTCGTGCATGGGATGTTCTGTCTGTTGAAGTGTGTGGGGAACCTTGGTCAGGCCTTGAGGCACTGTGGCGAGCAGACATGTCTGTAGCGAGACTCAGAGGAAACCACATTCAGTTCACATCAACTTGTCAGCTAAACTCTCACATCATTAATTGTCACAAATAATTCAGACAGCAATTAATGAAGAGTTGCAGTTGCAGCTGAGATTCATTTACTTCGGTTTGCAGATAAAATAAATACGGATCATGACTCTATGCTTTACTAAACGGAACGTTATGGCGGAGTAGGAACAGCATTCCCCTCACAAACGAGAGGTCCCTAGTTCCATCAAGGGCCGGATGATACCTTAGACAATTTTCCTCAATCCATACACACTTCTCTATTTACCTAGCGGTGACTAGTAACCCGATTGTAAATGGATTCTTGGATCGGTTTTCTCGGTTTGTAATATTCGCTTCAAAAAATAATGTTGGTCACTTAATCCATGTCTGTTCAGGTGGATGTTAAATATCCGACGGAACGACTCGAAACATTTAGCGATATCCTTGCAGATGGAAGTGAGTCTCCGGGCTGGTAGTGTTTGTTGAGATCGCTGTGGTTGGGTGGCAGCACTACGGTAACATTTAAAGGTGGAGTAGGATCTATAACATCTAACAAAAATTTGTGTCCCCTTGCGCCATTCAAGAAGACCATCCTTCTCAACCGAGTCTTCAGTGATAATCCCTCCTCCGCCCACCATGCTTTCTCCCTTTTCTAATCCTTAGTACAAACCCCTTCACTGTCCAGCCACCAGGGACGTCCGAACAACGTCATATACGCTACGTATAGCTGTTTATTTTTGTAATTGACGACGATTTACCAAATGCAAGGATTATTATGATTTTTTNCACCAAAATTTTATTCACAGGAGCTTTGACATCATCTTATGGTTGCTCTGAAATCGTTGAGCTTGTAAATGAGTGAAGCCCAACGCCCACATTTAGCAGCGCGACAATGCCACGGGGTCGGTGTGTTAAGGAAACGCTGCTGTGGGGTCACGGATGTGATGTTCAAACTCGTAATCCTCAACAAACACTTTCCATCAACAGACTCTGATGGCAAAGGCATTTTGCTGAAGAACGACAATGCGGCTGTTCATCGAATACCTTCTGGTGTTGAGTTTTATTTCAGGTGAGGCTGTGAAATGCGCAACGGAGACTAAAACTGATATAGACGTTCTATAATCTGTAGGACGGCTCATTTTGTTTGGCAGTCCCGGCTGATCGCTCGACCTGGGGTTGGGATTGAGATGTTAGGAATGAAATGTTAATGACACTAAATCTTACATTTGGTAAAACGCCTTAACCTAAACGAGATGTCTGTTGAGCGAAACGCTTTTGGAAATTGCACAAGGAAACTTGCGTAAGTTTTCTCCCTGTCCTGCAAGGAAAAAGAACCCAAATCCTCTCGCTTGTGAGGTGAGTTCACTGACCACTGAGCTGCAGGACTAAAATAGCGCGGTGCCTGATGTTCATCTTATTCCTTTCGTTG